GGCATCTGGCCAATCCCACTTCTGTATCTTTCCCTGGCAGAAAGGAACTGGGTCTCTCATGCTATGGCACAAGATGCAGAGCATGCCGGTTTGTAAGAGCCAGACTCCAGGGGTGGATTGAAGGGGAAACAGGCTTTGCAAGACCAAGCATGAGCTCCCTCATGTGGTCCACTAGTTCACTACCACTTCCTGAGTCTTCCTTATGTAAATCCCTGGCATGTAGCCAGTACTGTCCACTGCCACTATAAAACCTCTGCTCTCCCAGTGCGGGGTGCAGAGATCTGCTTTGGTCCTGAGGCTGCCAAGGACCTCCCTGTATATTAACTCTACCTAATAAAATTCCTTTGCCACCACAATGGAGTTACCCACCTCCTTCTTCAGTCTCTCAGCATCCTCCAATTTTGGGGGGCAAATTGCAAGTTACTAGTCCATGCCTGGAGAGCATATTTCAAGACTACTTCTTTTTACGGCTGAGTAATAATTCCATTCTATGTACGTACCACATTTTGTTTCTCCATTCATCTGTCGATGCACATTTAGATTGTTTTCAACTTTTAACTTTTGTGAATAGTGCTACAATGAACGTTGGTGTACATATGTCTGTTTCCTTCACTACTCTGATGTCTCTTGGTTATATACCTATGAGAGGAATTGCTGGCTCATATGATAGTATGGTTTAACTTTTTGAGAAACTGCCAAACTGTTTTCCATACTGGCTGTACCAGTTTGCATTCCCAGTATCAAATGGATAAGGGTTCCAATTTTTCCATATCGCTGCCAGTATTTATTTATTTTAAATTGGGTTGTTCATCTTTCTGTTATAGACATTTTTTATATCTTTTGGATATTAGACCCTTATCAGATATATGGGTCCTGGAAAATGTTTCCCAATCTATAGGTTGTCTTTTCACATTTTTGATAAAGTCTTTTGATGAACCAAAGTACTTAACTTTTATGAGGTCCTATTTATCTACTCTGACTTTTGCTACTTGTTCTTTTGCTGTCTTTTCTGGTAATCCACTGTGAAAAACTAGGCTTCACAGTTCCACCCCTATATTTTTTCCTAAGAATTTTATGGATTTAGTTTTCATATTTAGGCCCTTGATCCATTTTGAAATGTTTTTCGTGTAAGGCATGAATCCTGATTCATTCCTTTGCATATTGAAAGTAGAGCTTTCCTTTGTGATAAATTTGTATTTATATTCATTCATTCACAGATTTATTTACATTAGATGCATGGGGTCTCTAATAACCTGAAAAAGATTCTCTTTCTACCTGAATATAATTTATCAAATTTCAATAACCAACATCCAAAGACAGAGAAATGACACACAGTGTTCACTAGAACACACAAGAATGGCCAAGTCGAGGACAGGACATGGTGGGGACAGAGTCTCCCCGACACAAAAGGTAGAAATGATTTTTGCTTCTGGAGACAGGACATAAATGTTGCTTTGAAGACACTGGGAAGGTAGAGTACAGCTGATGAAAAAACCCCACCATCATTAGCCGACCTCTTCCTCCTCTTAGGGACTCAAGCCACACACAGCCTGCGGATTCCAGCAGTTTGGGATAAGCAGTGGGCTGGCATGGGTGAAAAGAGCTGGACTCTTGGAAGAGTGGCCACGGATCCTGAGCTCTCACTGAGGATGGATCCACCAGGAATGAGCTTAAGACCTGGGACCTTTGACCCCTGATCACCACCTTTGGATCATCACCCTCCAACATACCAACATCTAGACATCATATGAACAATCTCCAGGCAGGAAGGAGATGAGATCAGGGAGGGACACAATGGGAGGCCATAAAAACTGACCAAGGTCTATTATCACGCTGTGAGTAGGAATCGATTTAACGGCAATGGGTTATATAGGAAAACTTTCTGCACTCTTTATCATATAATTGACAACAGAAAATTTAAAACATTATTTAAAACTTGAAAGAAATGTAATTTTCACTTACTAATTTTACAAAGTCCTGTGAAAACCCTTTCATTTTACTTCTCTCAGGTTCAGAAAGGCTTCGATAGCTAACCTTTTGATACCTGGATCTTAGAAATTTATGTTTATATTCACAGATAAAACCTTGTAAAAGCAAAATATTGGAAACAATCCAAGTGTCCCTTCATGGCAATATGACTAAAAAACAACAACAAAACTAAGATCAACTACATCCAGCATTATGGAGTTTTGTAAGAATTTAGATTTAAGCACTCTATGTAATTTTAGAAGGTCTCTGGGTGGCGCAAATGGTTTGCTTTGGACTACTAACTAAAAGGATGGCTATGTGAACTCACCCAGTTGTCCTGTGGAAGAAAGCGCTGGCATTCTGCTCCCCTAAAGATTAAGGCTAAGAAAACCCTATGGAACTCGTTCTTCTCTGTAACACATAAGGTCGCCATGATTTGGAATTGTCTCAACTGCCCCGGGTTTGGAGGTTTTGTTTGTTATGTATTGTTAGTGTTATCAAAGGAGTCCGTGCATGGCCCAAATGGTTAAGGGCTGGACTATTAACCAACGGCTGGGAGTATAAACCCACCAAGAGGTACCGTGAAAGTAAGGCTTGGCTATCTCCTTCCCAAAAGTCACAGCCTTGAAAACTATGGGGTGCAGTTCTACTCTGAGCACTTGGGGTCGCCATGAGTAGGAATTGACTTGACAGCAACTAACAGCAAAAAACATTATTATGAGAAGATCTCCGGGATAATGTTAATTGAAGAGCAAGTGTAAATTCCATGCTACTTTGTGAAGAATAAAGGGAAATAACAATGTCTAAACCCTGGTGGCGTAGTGGTTAAGCACAATCGCTGCTAACTAAACGGTTGGCAATTCGAATCCACCAGGTGCTCCTTGGAAACTGTATGGGGCAATTCTACTCTGTCCTATACGGTAGCTATGAGTTGGAATTGACTCGACAGCAACAGATTTTTTTGGTATTTATATATCCTTGCTTTTACATAAGCACTGGCAAGACGTTTCAGAAAGCAATAAAGCTGGCCATCTAAAGGTAGCTGGTGGAAGAGGAATGGGCTGGATGAGAACAAGAGCAGAAAAAGGTATTCATAAAGTATATCTTGTAAGTTCACATTGAATTTTGAACTTTGAAGGTATTATCTACTGCAAAAACACGGTTTAAGTAAACTATATTATTCTTATACAAATAAAAAACTTAATGTTTTCACTAGGAATTCTCATTTGTAATTACAAAACCATTTAAAATTTAGTCATTTGTACCTATTATTAAATCGTCTAACATATTTGTGTAAATCATAAAAATGTAAATTAGAGCTATTTTTCTAGTGACCAGAGATATGAAAGTCTATACACCCAGTTTATCTCAGCTAGGAGAAAGTTCCTAAAATAGCTAAACTACCTAACACATCAGAAATTCTGGCATGATTTCTTAGGTATCAGTCTTTAAGACTCTTCTCAAGATTTAAGTAAGCTTTAGAGTAACTTTTACATCAGTTAAAACAGGCATTGTCTGAGAAGTCTTATATCCACTCAATCGAACAATTCTCAGTAGAAATACACAAACTAATCTAGAAATTTTATGCCGATGGAAAATGTAAATCCAAGAACTTAAATATACCCATCCCATACGTCATGGATTGAATTGTGTCCCCCAAAAATATGTGTCAACTTGGTTTGGCCATGATTCCCAGTATTGTGTAGTTGTGTCTTCCATTTTGTGACTGATGTAATTTTTCTATGTGTTATAAATCCTAATTTCTGCCGGTGGTTAATGAGGCGAGATTACATTATGTTAAAGATGATTAAGGTGGGATGTAACACCCTTACCCAGGTCACATCCCTGATCCAATATAAAGGGAGATTCCCTGGGGTGTGGCCTGCACCACCTTTTATCTCTCAAGAGATAAAAGGAAAAAGGAAGCAAGCAGAGAATAGGGGACCTCATACCACCAAGAAAGCAGCACTAGAAGCAAAGCACATACTTTGGACCTGGCGTCGCTGAGCCTGAGAAGCTCCTCGACCAGGGGAAGATTGACGACAAGGACGTTCCCCCATAGAGAGAACGCCTTCCCCTGGAGCTGATGCCCTGAACTTGGACTTGTAGCCTACTAGACTGTGAGAATAAATTTCTCTTTGTAAAGACATCCACTTGTGGTATTTCTGTTACAGTAGACTAGATGATTAAGACACCATATGTTGAGATTCTCAAGCAAAAAAAAAAAACCTTCATTTTAGATTCTAATTCAAGACTGTGGAGAGCAGTTGAAAATTACAGGGACTTAATATCAACTCTAAGCACAGACAAGTGGGAGGACAAGGACGTAGAGAATCATGCTTCTCAAACACCTGGGATCCTTAAGGCAAAAGCATTCCCTGCTGGAAAAATGATGGGTCTGGAGAACCCACACATGACGAAGCTAGACTCACTGTCTCCAGTGTCATTCTTTTCGTGACATCATGGGAACACCAAGCCCCACGCAGGACCTCATAAACAGAGTCAGGGCCTTCCCATATCATTCTCCATCCTTTTTTTACCCCTTCACACAGTGTGAGAGGTGGAGCTATAGTTTTAGAACTGCACAGAAAAGGCTGCAGTTCCTGCGGAAGCCTTGAAAACAGTTTGCAGTGATGGGACAAGGATGGCTCTGGAAGGCCTCGGGCTCAGCCTCCTCAGTCAGAGCTGCTCTGTCTTCAGGCTCTGGTCAGGAGATTCTGTCACTAACACAGCGCACCAAGGCCCAGGGTGGGGATGGTAATGCCATATGGTGCCAGCTCTGCGAGTCACATTAAAGGTGACCCCAGGCATCCAGGACTTCAAAAACCACGTATGTGTAGAGGAAGGGCCCAGTGACAGTGAAGCAGGGTCTTAGGATGCCTCTTAGGGCTCAGACACTTGGCCTCCTCTGCCACCTTTTTACCTCACTGAGGAACCACAGGGCCCAGAGCACACAGCTACTCCCCCAACAATTCATATCGAGCCTCACCCCCTTTATGATAAGAATACCCCCAGTTCTCTGTGGTACTCACCATTTCCTTGCTCCAGCTTCTGGAAATCTAATTGAATGTCCTCTCTAAACCCAAGAAGCCACTTCAGTAAGAGGGACAAGAACAGAAACAGAGCCACCAGTCATCAGTTTGGATGTAGATGAATGTTTGGTCCACACAGCCTGTCAGAGCAGTTGAAATCCTTGTGCTTGCAAGAATGTGTAAGATGATCCACAGATGCCTGGACTGGACTACTTCTCCCTGTACCACACCAGGAATCTGAAATGGAAGAAGGATGGGGAGATAGAGTTCAGTAAGGAGGGAGTGACAGGTTTTTAGCCTTCAGCTCTTTCCCTGGGCAGGGCTTCCTCCCAGATTCAACGCAATGCTCCACCTTGAGGGTATCTGCATATGAAGCAGAACAAGCTACAACCTTCCAAAACTGACAATTGCATTCTTCATGCAGCTCCACAGGCCTCTTTCTTGGGCAATAAGATCACAGATGGAGAAATTTTCTCCGAAAGAGCAGAAGCTTCGAGGCCTGGCCAGGTTGCAAAACTTGAACATGATTTCCTCCAGAGAGTCAGGAGTCTAAGGCTTAGGTGTGGGTTCAGCTATGTAACTTGGTCCCTTGTAGATTAACACACACAGTGTTATTTGATATAAACACAGACAAATTTTTAGGGACAACACATTTTTCAAGTTTGGTCAATGAACTCATCATGCTTCACTGACTTTTAATTATATGCACAAAAAACCCTTCTATTGTGCTTTATTTTTTAAATTTTCAACTCATTTATGTTGTTGTGTTGTTAGATGCTGTCAGTCAATTCCGACTCATAGCAACCTTATGTACAACAGAACGAAACTCTGCCTGGTCCTGCGCCATCCTCACAATCATTGTTATGCTTGAGCCCATTGTTGCAGTCACTGTGTCAGTCCATCTCATTGAGGGTCTTCCTCTTTTTCACTGACCCTCTCTTTTACCAAGCATGACGTCCTTCTCATTTATGGCATTATAATATGTTGCAGTGCCGTGAGCTGCTTTTATCTTACTAGCCACAGTCTTCTAACTCCCACAAAATGACTGACTGGGATTACGCATATAAGGTGTGTAAAACTCTTGCAAAGACTGGACAGCAACTATGTAAATAAGATGCCGGTAGCCTGTCAAGGTAATTGGTCAGTCTTGACATACAGCTAGGTTTAAAAGAGTCAATCCCACAGAAGTTGAGAGGGACTTCACTACCACAAAGAAGAGCCAGGAACGGAGCACGCCCTTTGGACCTGGAGTCCCTGCACTGAGAATGTCCTAGACCCAGGAGAAAGAGAGCTGTAAAACTGAAGACCGCAAGACCCCACTAGAGACAGAACAGCAGGAGCAGCAGAGGCGCAAGATGGGGAACCAGGAGAACGGTGTGCAAGCTGTCCTGACTAACTATATTCTGAGTTGTATCTGGTTAACTCCAAGTTAATCCTCATCCTGAATTGTAACTTGTTACTTCCCAAATAACCCCATAATTGTAATCATGGTCTGTGAGTTCTGTGTGGCCACTCCAACGTATTATTGAACCCAGCAGAGAAATACAGAATTCTGTGGGAGAAATAGCTGATGTCAGAACTGGTAAAAAGTTTGGAGAGCTGAGGTATGTCTGACCTCCACTTAGGAATCAGTTTGGGCTGATGCTGATTGTTTTCATTCGCTTTCCGGAACTAAGACAAGGTCTGACACTATCAGATTACATGTGTAATCAAACAGTATTTTTCTTATAGATTTTGCAGTTAATATTTGTTTCTGCTCCTCAAGTTTTGTTTTTTCTTTGCTCTCAGATCATAACACCAGCAGTCACCAAGCTTTTCAGAAATCTGGAAGGACTCCCTGAACATCTTTGCTTTCAACTGTATTTATTGGTCAACTAATAAATCAGAAAATCATTAAGTTTTCTCTAAGGAGCAGTCTCTCGTCTCAGTTCCATTTCTTTCCACCTCCATACCCAGTTAACTCCTACTCTTAATTCTTGGTCTCATTGTAAGTGTTCTCTCTAGTGCATGCATGATCTTTATACCAGTGTCTCCCTTTTAAGCACTATATTTCCTTTTATTAATTTTTCTAATAGGGCAACCAGATGGAAGGAAAACACAGTCACTGTACCAAAAAGAACTGGTCAACGTTCAACCATCTCAAGAGGCAGCATATAATCAAGAACTGGTGCTACTGAAAGAAGGGGTCCAAGCTACACTGAAGGCCCTGGCAAAAAACAAAGCTTCAGGAATTGACGGAATACCAATTAATATGTTTCAACAAACAGACACAGCACTGGAGGTGCACACTTGTCTATGCCAAGAAATTTGGAAGACAGCTACCTGTCCAACCGACTGGAATACATCCATATTTGTTTCTATTCCAAAGAAAAGTAATCCAACAGAACACATAAATTATCAAACAATATCATTAAAACCACATGTAAGTAAAATTTTGCTGAAGATCATTCAAAAGCGGTTGCAGCAGTACATCGACAGGGAACTGCCAGAAATTCAAGCCAGACTCAGAAGAGACGTGGAACAAGCAATACCCTTGCTGATGTCAGATGGATCATGGCTGAGAGCAAACAATACCAGAAAGATGTTTACATGTGTTTTATTGACTATGCAAAGGCATTCCACTGGGTGGATCATAACAAATTATGGATAACACTGCGAACAACGGGAATCCCAGAACATTTAATTGTGCTCATGAGGAGCCTGTACGTAGACAAAGAGGCAGTCGTTCAAACACAACTAGGGAATACTGCGTGGTTTAAAGTCAGGAAAGGAGTGTCTTATGGTTGTATCCTTTTACCATACTCATTCAATCTGTATGCCAGCAAATAATCTGTGAAACTGCACTATATTAAAAAGAAAGGGGCATCAGGATTGGAAGAAGACTCACTAACAACCTGCGATATGCAGATCACACAACCTTGCTTGCTGAAAGTGAAGAAGACTTGAAGCGCTTACTGATGAAGATCAAAGACCACAGTCTGCAGCACGGGTTATACCTCAACATAAAGAAAACAAAAATTCTCACAATTGGACCAATAAACAACACCATGATAAATGGAGAAAAGACTGAAGTTGTTAAGGATTTCATTTTACTTGGATTCACAATCAACACCCACAGAAGCGGTAGTCAAGAAATCAAATGATGCACTGCATTGGGCAAATCTGCTGCAGTGTTAAAAAGCAAAGATGTCATTTTAAAAACTAAGGTGAACCTGACCCAAGCCATGGTGTTTTCATTCGCCTGATATGCATGTGAAAGCTGGACAATGAGTAAGATCGAAGAAGAATTGACACTTTTGAATTATGATGCTCCTGAAGAATATTGACTCTACCATGGACTACCAGAAGAATGAACAAATCTGTCTAGGAAGAAGTACAGCCAAAATGCTCATTTGAAGCAAGGAAGGTGAGACTTCATCTCACATAATTTTGACATGTTATCAGGAGGGAACCATTCCCTGGAGAAGGACATCATGCTTGGTAAACTAAACGTCAGTGAAAAGGAGGAAAACCCTCAAGAAGATGGATTGACACAGTGGCTGAAACAATGGGCTCAAGCATAACAATGATTGTGAGGATGGCGCAGGACTAGACAGTGTTTCGTTTTGTTGTCAGAAACGACCTGATGGCACCTAACAACAACGGGGAAGGGAAGGGAAAAATAAAGGGCACCACATTTCTCTATAGATGGTGATATTACAAGCGGTGTTTAATGATCATTTTCCCCTATGCATTTTTGAAATTTTTTTAAACATGCAATATTTTAACAATTTTAAAAAACGAGAACATTTATTTTCTCCTTATACAAGTTTCTGACAATGAATTTTTAGACATGATACTAAACACACGAGAAACAAAACACATCATAGACAAATTGGACATCATCAAAGAAAAATTTTGTGCACTAAAAGACTTTATTAAAAAGTGAAGAGACAGAAGGCGGTGCCAAGATGGCAGAATAATCAGACGCTTCCTGTGGTCCTTCTTACAATAAAGATGTGAAAAAACAAGTGGATCGATTATATATGACAATCTAGGAGCCCTGACCATCAAAGACAAAGTTGAGCAGTTGAACCGAGCAGGAGCGGGAGGGACAGTTCAGAAGCAGAGAAGAAGTGCCAGTCTTGAGGTAGCCAGCACCCTGCAAGCTGGGTCGGCTGGCGCATGGGGGTTGAGGCAAGCAGTAACACTCAGGATGCCTTTCACCCAGTTGGGAGAGACTGGCTGGCAGACACTGCACAGGCCTCCACAGTCAGGGGAAAGCAGCGCTGGATCTACGAAAGTTAAGTGCAAGCATCTAACCTACCGTGCAGGATCAAAATAACCCCTCTCTCCGAAACAGAGAAGTGCTGCTTTCCCCTCACCCACCACCATCCTTGCTCCGCTCCAACACCAGTCCGGCAGTATTCAACAATTGCCATAACCCCTAAGACAGAAATAAGGGCTATCCTGCCCAAACCAGGCTCGCAGCTTTAGGGGGAAAAAAAAATACCCGCCAAGTCCCCTAAGCCAGGAACGTAGGAACTCAGTCCCGCAGCTTCAAAAAGTCACCACACCCCCTAAGCCAGAAACTCAGGGCAGGCACTGGCCCTGTGCCTAGGCACTGACATAAGGGGTCCACAGACGTGTAATGCCCATCACCCCTGCCTAGACCCGTGTGGATGGATTCTACATCGCAGGCCCTCATTAATCTCAAGCCTCCTAAGCCGAAGACCAAGGATTTTCTACACCCAAACCAGTTCTGCAGCTTTAAAAAATCACCATACTCCCTAAGCCAGAAACACAGGAGAAACACTGTCCCTTTGCCTAAGAACTGGAATAAGGGGCCCACGGACTTCAAACGCGCTTCATCCCTGCCTAGACCTTTGTGGGCCGATTCAAAAGAGTTGCCCTCACTAGCATAAAACAACAGGGTATATACCTGAAGCCTATTTTCAACTGCAGCAACCAAGGGGGAGTTGCAGATTCATGAAACTTGATGCTGCCATCTCCATTAAATAGGGTCCTTACCCACTCACATCAGGGGCCTGAGGACTGACAGTTTCAAACAGTCCACCTAGCCACTCACAATAGGCGTCTGAGAGTAAGTGGTGCCTCCCAGTCCTTAGAGCCAACAGCATTGGGTGCCCAAAGTCCGGCTGCAAAACCCACCCACCTACGCACACTAGGGAACAGGGACATGCCTTCCACTCAGGCACTCAGGCATAGCCATCAGCCCTTGCTCAGGACACAAAACT